CTGGCCATTTTTTGGTTGCAGCCATCATTGTTGTTTGGCGGGCCCCGGCTGGGGATTCGAACCCGCCACCTTAGGTGTATGTGGCTGGCGCCCCAGCCACTTGAGCCACAGGCGCCGAGCCACAGCATTTATTTTCTAACGGCAATGCTTTTCTATATTTCAAAACTACAATTCCTTTTTAACCAGGAAATACTCACAGCAGAGAGAGATGATTGACATGGCATGCAGCCTGTTCTCAGACCTGATATAAGGTCTCATGCAAATAACAAAAATGTTTCCAAAGCAGGTAATGGCAGATACGACCCAGACAAATACTCTCTGAATAATGCTTGCCAAGAGATTCTCTAGAGATGAGATTCCATCAGTGTTTGGTTTACAGCTGCGAACATGGGGGGCATAGCCACAATACTGGAATTTCTTAAAATATCTGGCGTACAAAGAAAAGGCAAAATACGATTTTAAATTTAATTCAGTGCCACTGTATATTAGTATTGTTTGTCTACATTTTCTTTGTAGAAAGTGTTTTAATATGAGACTCAGAAGAGTGTAAAACGATAGGAATTCTGAGACTTTAAACTTAGATCTAATTATCATGAACTTCATTTCACTGTAAAAGAATGTGTGGGTGAAAATAACAAATAGGCATAATAAATATACAATTTTTAGACATGTCTTAGAATATAAACTGTTAGTGTGGGATCAAGAGAAGGAACCTATCCAGAGAAACTTTTTGTGGTTTTCAGAGTCTAGTAAATATAAACGCACTGTTATGTAACTCCTATTGGTGCTGCAACGTTTGCAACTTGTCTTGGCTTTTAATCCTCAGGGGAAGAGTTGTGGGCTTTCCCTTCTGATGACTTTTCTGTTATAGAGGTTATGTTGTTATTTGTAACTACTTGCCAACATGGCTTACACTAGATTTTAATACATCATAAAGGGTATAATAAACACTTGTTGGGTGAATTCTTTCATCAATAGAGAGATCTCCCCTGTTGATAAAAATATGGCCTGGATAATAATTAGTTGCTACAATGTCACCACCAACCCAATACCATTTATTGAGCATTTTCCGGAAAAAAATTCTTTTTATCCTTTCTTTTCTTTTCTTCTTTTTTTTTCTTTGAGACCGAGTCTCATTTTCTCAACCTTGGTAGAGTGCCCTGGCATCATAGCTCACAGCAACTGCAAACTCTTGGGTTCAAGTGAGTCTCTTGCCTCAGCCTCTCAAGTAGTTGGGACTACAGGTGCCCGCCACAACGCCTGTCTATTTTTCAGAGATGGAGTCTCACTCTTGCTCAGGCTGGTCTCGAATTCTTGAGCTCAGGCGATTCATCCACCTCAGCTTCCCAGAGTGCTAGTATTATAAGCATGAGCCACCGAGAACAGCCTAGGAACAAACTTTTAAATGAACTCTATGAAGTAAGTATATTACCATCACCATAGGAGATGGATCTTCAGTAGAGACAAATTACTTGCTATGAAATTCTCCAGAAAATGTAAAAATTGAGATTCAAATGAGATCAATTTGTCTCCAAAGTCATATGTTCTGGCAAAAAAAAAAAAAAAAAAAGATGATTTTTAACAGTAATAAAATAGAAACTCGATGATTATAATTCAAGGTCACTTGCTGATATTTCCATCCTGTTATATACATTTTCTCTGTTAACTACTAAGGAGAAGAGAGCAGAGCATGGAGGAAGGAAGGAGTGTTGAAGGTCACTTTATATGTCTCTGAAGTTTTGCTTTTATCAACAGAATTATCGTAGACATTCATGTGCTGGTTTGGCTGCCTGGCAATCCAGTCACCCTTCTGGTGATAGTGTCCTCACCTCCTCTGAGGGACACACTCCTTCATTCTGTGTGAAGTCATGAGAGGACCTTCAGTAGAGGCACTCCCTTAGTCCAGAGTATGTAAGTGAAGACCAATTAGACTTTCTCTCCTGGAACTCTGTATCTCTCTCTCTCTCCCCCTCTGTCTTGTTCTCTCCCTCCCTCCCTTTCTTTCCTTTCTTCCCTTCTGACAGAGTCTCACTTGTCAACCAAGCTACAGGGTCATGGCCCCCCTAGCTTACAGTAACCTCAGACTCCTGGGCTCAAGCAATCCTCCTGCCTCAGCCTCCTGAGTAGCTGTGACTGCAGGTGCCCACCATGACCCCAAGCTATGTTTTCTGTTTTTAGTAGAGACAGGGGCTTGCTCTTGGGCAGGCTAGTCTCGCACTCTTGACCTCAAGTGATCCCTTTGTTTCAGCCTCCCAGAGTGCTTTGATTTAGGCCCCCAGCCTGGAACTTTGGATTTTACTGAATGCTTGCTGGGTGGGTAACTCCAGCAGTGTCTGGATAAGATGACTGTTTAACTCTTGCTGCCATGGTTTCTGCCCATTTCAAGTCTGTTCCTTTAGTTGTTTCTCAGATTTTATGAGCTGTATCATTTTCTCCTAATAGATTCTGTTTTGCTTAATTTAGTCAGGTTTTTTTTATTTTTGTAAGCATACGATCTTTTATAAACATTCTCTCTGAAGAATTATGAACAACAAAACCAATGTCCTATGTTAGACTTAAAATATAAACAAGATTATAGAGTTGACAATGGCTTGACACTTTCTAAATTATTGGAAATAAATTACCAGAGTATGCATCATTCTGATACCTGCCATAAGTTTGTACCCAGGTAACAAATTGTTTCTTAAGCATGTATTTAAAGGTACATCCAGGCACACTATTTGAATTCAAAAAAAAGTTTCAAAATTTACCATTTCATCTGTGCACACTTGGCTCCAATCATGCTGTGACATTGGGGGCAATTTTCACTGAGAGGGATTTCTCCTTACTTTCCTTCATTTGCTGCAATTATTTATTTATAATTATTTTATATTGCTTATATAAATTGCTGCTTCTTCATCCGATAGCATTTGTACCATGCATATGAATCACTAGCTCATTAGGCAAACATCTGTGTCTATGAATGGTACCCAGAGTCGATGAGAACTTCTAACAAGCCTCAAAAGGATCTTCCCATACATGTTTCCTTGATATTTAAAAAAATCTCTTCTGAGATTCTACCAGACTATGGAAAACTAAAAACCACCCTACCCAACATCAAAGTGAATTATTGTTTAGACATGCCTTAGTCCATTTCAGCTGCTATAGAAAAATTATCATGGACTGCTTATAAGCAAATATTTATTTCTCCCAGTTCCAGAAACTGAGATGCCCAAGATCAAGGTACCAGAGGAATCAGTGCCTGGTGAATGCCTGCTTCTTGGAGCACAGATGATGCATCAGCTTCTTGCTGTGGTTTCACATGGTGGGAGGGGCAAGTGGAGGTTTCTGAAGTCTCTTTTGTAGAGCACTAACCTCACTGATGATGGTTCTGCCCTCAGCACCTTCCAGAGGCCCCACATTCTAATAACATCACATTGCCGTCAGGATTTCGACATAGGAATTTTCAGGAAACACAAACATTGAGTTTATAGCAGTCAAACAAGTAGGAAATAGTGATTAGACGCATTGGGTATGGATATATCATCACAATACATGTGGAAACAGAAAGATTAAAATCAAGGAGAAGAACAAGAAAAACATCTACTTACATGTGAGACAGATTCATAAGAGGTCTAAACATCCGTTGCTGGATATTTGGAATTTCAAGTCCTTCTAGGCTGCTAAAAATACCAAATTAATAATCAATCAAAAGAACGTGTGTTATATGTGGTCCAATAAAGTGAGTTTTGGGGAAGGACAATTTAATAAAATATTTTTAGTTAGCGGTTATTCTGAATGAAATATTCATACTTGGCCCACCATAGGGACTTCTGTAACTCATCCTTTTTTAAATTATATTATTGGTCATATTTGTTATATTATCATCCCTATTTGCCTTGTTTTTGATCCTCACAGATCATGGCACAATGCTTTGCATATACTAGATACTCAATATGTGTGGAATAAATGAACAAGCATTGCACTTTGGACAATGTTACGATAGCAGAAGAGTTTTATACTTTTGAAATTTTCTAATAATTTTTAGTAATAAATTTTTTCTAATAAAATGTCATTTGGTTGAGGGGACACATAAATTAAATAAACTGAAGCTTATCTTTTAAAGGCAATTCATAGATCATAACAGAATTTTTGTCTTTCCTTTTTTCCATGGTGCAAGTTATGCTTTATAGAATCTAGAATATTTTATCTTGGGGTAAAAGGTGCCTATAATGAATTTTTAAATACCAAGTGCTAACAATATCAAAGCAAACAATCCAATATAGGCTCCTGGTGACTTATAGAAAAACATAATATGATTTGTAATTATTTAATTTTTAGTTTATAAATATGTAAGACTAAACTAATAGCTGGCTTTTTGTTATAGTCAAGCAAGCACTAGTCTTATTTGTTTTTGTTGAGCCTAACTCCTGAAAATGTATAGCTTTATACCCTGGAAATATAGCTTATGATTTGAAAATTCTATGAAATCTACATAATTAGTATTTAAATAACTATTTAATCATAAAAGTATTGCCATATGTCAATACTTACAGAGACTTGAGTTTGATAAGATAATCAAACTGGTTTGCTTCAATTTTCTGGATTGGGTTATAGGAAAGATTCCTGTTTTTAAGAAAAGGCATCAACAAGTCATTTCTGAAAATTACTTGGATAAGAAAGAGTGTTTATCTGTTGATTTTATCTGTTGACTTTTAAACATTAGAAAAAGTATAGTGCAACTCAAAATGGATTAAAGGCTTAACCTGTTGAACTATAAAAGTACTAGAGAAAAACAGGGGAAAAGCTTCATGACATGGGTCTGGGCAATGATTTTTTGAATATGGTCCCCAAAATACAGGCAACAGTAGTGAAATAGACAACAGGGATTACATGAAACTAAAAAGCCTCTTCGTGGCCAAGGAAACAATCAATAGAGTGATTGTTTGGAACGAGAGAAAATATTTGCAAACCATCTATCTGATAAGAGATTTGTATCCAAAATGTGTAAGAAACTAAAACACTCAAAAAAAAAAATCAATAACCTGGTTTAAAAATAGGCAAAAGGCCTGAGTAAACATATCTCAAAAGAGTACATAGAAATGGCCAACAGATGTATATATGAAAAAATGTTCAATATCACTAATTACCAGACAAGTGCCAATTAAAATCACAATGAGATATCACCTCACACCTTTGAGGATGGCTTTTATCCAAAAAATGGAACATAAGTGCTGGTGAAGATGTGAAAAAAAGTTTACCCTTGCACACTGTTGGTGGGAATGTAAATTAGTAATCCATTATGGAAAATAGCATGGAGGTTCCTCAAAAAATTAAAATAGAACTATCTCATGATTCAGCATTCCCACTACTTGGCATATATGCAAAGGAAATGAAATAAACATGTTAAAGATATATCTACTGCTCTCTATTCATAATAAATAGGCAAGGTATGGAATCAAAGCAAGTGTCCATCAAAGGATGAATGCATAAGGAAATGTACATGTGGGGCGGCGCCTGTGGCTCAGTGAGTAGGGCACCAGCCCCATATACGGAGGGTGGCGGGTTCAAACCCGGCCCCGGCCAAACTGCAACAAAAAATAGCCGGGCATTGTGGCAGGCATCTGTAATCCCAGCTACTTGGGAGGCTGAGGCAGGAGAATTGCCTAAACCCAAGAGCTGGAGGTTGCTGTGAGCTGTGATGCCATAGCACCCTACTAAGGGTGACAAAGTGAAAATCTGTCT